TTAGACCCGCATGCAACTCGAATGTTGCAGTGTCTGCATGTTTTGAAGCTCCATAGGGCCCAAAAAAATCCTTTAAGCACAATACCCTGGCCCAAAAAAGTTTAAACTTATCTTTTAGATTCTTTTTGTAGGGTTTAATGCACCAAAAAAGTTTAAAGTTTACCTATTGGGCTCCTAAGTTATCAAGTACCCCTATAGGCCTAGGCAATGCCGAAACAGGGCTCGCGAGCCAGAGCGGCCGAGACACAATAAGTTCATGGCAGGCACGGCAGATCGCATCCTGCACGGAATCAAAGAAGAGGGGCCTTTATAATTAGAATCAGGTTTAGGGGTATAGTGTAGCGATAATGGTATTGATCGGCGAAATGAGATTCAAGCTTCCACGTTAGGGTTTATAGCGGTTTCGGGACTAATTAAAGTTTACCGCCTCACACTCGGACTTCCCAGCTGAGGTCCCATGTCCCACGGCTTGAAGTCCGCTCGAGACAGGGCTGGGAAGAGAGTGAGGTCTATGCGCCAGGGATTCAGAGGTTACGGGTTTGGCATTTGGGGGCTCAGCTTGCGGACATGAAAGCTCCAAAATTCCCTGTTCTTGCGGGCTCTGGGAGCTGTGCTGTAGTTCTGTAAGTTGTGTCGGGATTATAGGGTTCCGTTCAGGCTGGGTTTGCGGATTTTGGACACATGGACGAAAAGTTGGAGCATGCAGTAGCCTCAGCCATCTGCACCCGAAGCCCCTTTTCGGAAATTCTTGAGGCCTTTGTACGTAGAAGCCTCGAAGATCTTCTATGCATCAAGGCGCTTGAATTAGGCCATTGACAGTCCCTAAACCCTGAAAATTCTACAACTCTTATGAACCCGAGAATCCTGTATTTCTATGATGACGTTCGCCCCGCGCTTTGGCAGACAAACAGACCACGATGCTTAAGAACCCCAAACCCTAGTCCTAAACCCTAAACCCTAAACCCTAAACCCCAAACTCTAAACCCTAAACCCTGAGCCTTCTTTGCCATGTCTAGCAGGCCAAGCTTGTAGTTCGCCTGTGCGCAGGCCTTCCTCCAGGGAGTGTGCCTAAGGGTCCATGTACCCAAATAGTATATACATTGGCCTTAATGTAGTCCCTATATAGGTACTTTAGGGCCCATGTATATGCTATATGAGTACATGGACCCTTAGGGAGTGTGTATCCCTCTCAAGGCTCCAGGTTGCAGGGCTCAGGGACGCTGCATTAAGGTAAGAGTTCTAGCACTTTCCAGGCTGGGCTTGGTGTAGATTATTTTGGGTGCAGTCTCGTTTCCGTCATGGATATTGGGCCAGAGGCTAGATCTTACCTTGGTGGGTATCGAACACGATAGCAACTTCACCATGTAGGTAGGGATAAGTTTCCTCTTCCGCGGGGTTCGCTCTATTGCACCGATGGTAAACGATTTCAACTGCTCATTGTTTTCGGTCCACGGGTTCGCGCTGAATGGACTCATATGCCAGTATTTCAACTAAACGGTTGACCTAGATCTGCTCACATGGCCCTACAACTTCCTAAATTCAAACCAAGCAAGAGACGTGTAATAAATGCTTAGCTTCTATGAGTGATCTGCGGGGCTGACCCTAAACCCTGGCAAAGAGTTCGGAGCCCTGAGGTGATCTGCACAACCGATTGTTGAAAAAGATAGAAACGATGATAGTGGATAGCTTAGCTACCACAACACTCATCATCCACTTGGTAAGGCTGGCCCACCCTAACTCGCAAGTCTGGCGTGCTTCTAAGTTTGGGGTACGACAAGCCTTGGACAATCCGACCAAGAACCACTTGGGACTTTCCGAAAATTAGGGTACCTTATTTGGGGTCCTTATAATAAGGAACCTATTATTTAGGGTACCATATTCGGGTCCCCCATTTTCGGAAATCCCCACTTGAAAATCCCGGAAGGCCCGTCTTGACCATGGCGAAGGCCACGATGAACTCTGGGAAGTTTCGCAGCCGGATGCCCGTGATGTTGTAGCACTCCTCAGCTGCATGTGGGTAGGGTTTGGGGTTTGGGGTTTGGGGTTTGGGGTTTGGGGTTTAGGGTTTAGGGTTTAGGGTTTAGGGTTTAGGGTTAGCTGCAGGGCACTGAAACCGGTCGCTTGACATCTTCAGCAACTAGAGAATCTGAGAAGGCTGTGGGCTTTGATGCATATGACATGACTAGCACTACCCGTTCTTCAGCCTCGAACAGCTCCCACACCCTATTCGGGCCATACAGGTCAGAATAAGCTTTGAGGCATAGTTAATCTCTGTGGTTCAAAGATGAATCAACTATAAAGGTATACTAATACTCATTCGAGCCACTTTACTAAACCGTAAGCCCTAAAGAAGGAGTCTCCCAACGCAACTCAAGCATCAGAAAGGCTCCAAGCAAAGCGCCTTTAAACACACATCGCTAAGCCCTTAAGTCTAAAGCCCTACTAAACCTACACCCGAAGCCCCGAGCTCTAACTTACCGAAAGCCTGAATTGTAGTATCCTGTCTTGATCACCTGGTTTCCGGTGGGAGCTCCTTCGTCAAGCAAGAAGGTTACCGCAAGGATGCTGCACGCCAAGGCCTGTAAAATGCCATGTTGGTACAGTCATTAAATATGGGGGGTTCCGAAAATAGGCAGGGGACCCTAAACATAGCACCCTAAATAGCAGGATCCCTATTATAAGGACCCCAAAATAAGGTACCCCCAATTTTCTGAAACTCCCATATGGCAGTTAGGGGGATGAAGGCTTCCGATAAATGGTAGAACCCTCATACAAAACGGGGCCACAGCTTTGAAGAGATCTATGAAACAAACTGCCATACCTGCGGCCGAAGGACGAGCGCTCGAAGGGTCTGGACGCCTCAGCAGGAATGAAGCTTAAATGATCAGGTTTTTTAGTCACGAGCTTGAAGCGTGTAGGTGTTCTATATAAGTTCTGTCGCGCCTGCTGCCAACCTTCGACTGTACTTCCCCAAGAGTTAAAGGCCACAGGTTCTTCGTTCCCTATATGTAAACTGAAACTGATGCTATGCACTGGCATGTCATGAAGCGAATGAATCGGCTCTGTATGTTGTTCGTGTATAAACGTAAACTACCCACTACAAACCTACTAGTGAATGCTCTTGCTCGTATACATTATACAGCACTTTCAGGGGATGTGCATGTTATACCCAATGTTCACAGTATGCAAATTCTGGTATACTTAGTTTATCAATTGGAACTTAGATGTAGATCCTCAAGCAGGAAGGCCACCACCGAAAAAGGAAAGACACCAGACTCACCAGACCCTCCCTTGAACCCTGAACTCCGCCCCCCGACTTTGAACCCAAATCCCAAACCCTATCCGTAAATCCTAAGCCCAATTCCCGAACCCTATATGTGCCCAAGCTGCCGTAGTAAGCACTCTTGGGGACCTCTTTGGTTCCAAGGAGGTCCTGCAGAGGATGTGCCACAATATTTAGCAGCCCTACGGGCCTGCAAGGTCTTTGAGTTATTGGGCAGCTCTCTGAGTTAGGGTCCGATGCCGTGCTATTCTGGGGACCTAAAAGGGGCCCTAGTTCGGAAAAACTACCGAAATGTAGTGCCAGAGCTGAACATATGGGCCTGTGTATGATCGGAGACTCGGGGACCTTGGATCAGTGGCCACATTAAGGCATTACACGGACCCCCTCACAAGAACACTCCGAGTGCACCCCCAGCTAAGGAGCTTGCTCTACCATCCCCAAAACAACCAAGGATACGGCTGTACCGAAAACAACTGGGTAAACAAACCTTGTGAATCCCACTTATCTAAACTGCAAAGCTCTATTGACCCTTCGAGACCCTCATGTAGCCTCCCGCCTGGCTAGGACGAAACCCCTTCGTAGAACCCTTGAAAAATCGGGAGTCTGACAGCCACAAGGCCTTCTCGGTGCGTGTCCCGTCCGTCATGTTCACCACACCTCAGTGCCAGAACGGATGCAAGGGAGGTTTCTCTCACGACTGCAAGGGCAGCTCTGGATTTGGGGTTGAGGTGTGCAGCTGCAGCGCGATTAGTCTTCCAAGCACACTTCAGGCGATGCTCCGAACAAGAAGACTGTTCGGAGGCGTGCTGACTTGCATCGTCTGTGCAGATCTCGCTGGACGGCCCATTCGAAAGACAGAATGGCTCTACATCCACGTGTGATTGATGTATGGGTTTGATGTGGCAGCCAAGGCGCTGGGCAGCTGCACCAAGGGTGTGAAAGCATCGTCAAAGCTGCCTCGTCGATCTCGCCCCATCGCGGTCAACGTGGCTCCCAGAGAGGGAAGGCAAAACAGAGCGAACCTTTACTCACTCATGCAACCATCAAGCAGCATCCCTTGGAACGTATGTGTAAGATGTCTCGCCATGGCTGAAGGTGGTAAGGCATTGCTTCGAAGCACGAGCGCCGACAAAAGCTGCTGCAAGCCAGGCAGCTATGCAGAAAGATCTAGACTGGTCATGAAATATTGGCAATCACGAATACTTATTTTAATTCCAGGAGAATTATGTACTAAACATCACCCACATCATCCAGCCAATAAAGCTGGACAGCAGCTGGATCCTGAATAGCTGCCCTTAAGGGCTCTTGATGTGGCCAAGGAAAACACAAGCAAAAGACTCGCCGATGCATTTCAACACCATGCCTCCGGAACCCGCAACCAAGAAACAAGCCACAACACACATTACGACATTGCGATGCAGAAAAGAGTAAACCCTAAACCCAAAACCCAAAACCCTAAACCGGGCTGCTTGGCACCTTCAGAGTTGTAGATGCACCACTCTGAAGCCAGGGGAAGGCCAAAGCTCCGAATCTTTATAGGGTTAGGGCCAAGGGACGATAGGAGGGACCCAATATACCCTAAATAAGCCTTATATACCCCTTATATAGTCTCATAAGGCCCCCATAGAACCCCAAGGGTCCCCTTAAGGGTCCCTCCTTAGTCCCTTGATATATGGATTTCGAGGGATATCTGAAACTCTCGACTTGCTGGGCGCACTCAACCCACCATCTTCTTCTGGATGGGAGCCAAAAAGGCGGCCGGCTGTGTAGGGGACCTGCACAAAAGCGATCCTCCCAAACTCGACAAGTGGGTTCTGAAGTGGTTGGTCAGACCTTTTGCTGAGAAGGGCATTGCGAGCCCTAAACCCGAGGACAGACACCCCAAACCCTAATCCTTTCTGAGTTCGCTGAGCCGTGGGTGCTGGTTCCCTCCCGAGCAGGCGGCCAAAAACTGAAACAACATAATAGACTAGACCCTAAACGCACAGCCTACAGTTGCCCCAGTAATGTCTTACCGCAACCGCGCGAAAATACGATGAATAATGTGAGTTTTTGCCACTTGGGCCCTCTTTCCAAGTGTGCATCTGGACCTCGCTGTGTTGTCAGGCACGGAAGGAGCGAAATCGATTGGTCTTATTGGAGACAGATTTCAGTACCGGAGAGGAGGCAGTGCGAGTTTTGTGTATGCTCTGGGTGGGTGGAACTCCTGCGAGGCGGATCCTTGGGAGTCCGAGGGCAGCGACGTGGAACTCTTTCATTCATCAGCAGCTGGGCAAGACCGGTACAGAGACGCACCCAAGGTGCGAGGCACCGCTACAGGCTGGCAGGGAGTTCCCTTCTCCACGTAATCGCTGGTAGAGGGTGAGGAGGAAGGAGAGGACGGGTTAGAAGGAGAGCCTGCAAAGGCAAAGAACTGAGGTGAGCGAAGTGCCAGCAAAAACAAGTTGTGCAGTCAGGTGTGAGAGCGAGTGCGAGGCACATTAAACAACACCCCTTTGTGCCTGCCCATAGGCCCTAAAGTAGTTCCTTTTTGGGTTCCCAAGTAGGATTCTAAAAATGAACCCCAAAAAGGAGCTACTTTAGGGCCTATGGGTGGGTTAACAATTAGAATAGGGTGTATCAGCGGGACCTGGCAGTTGAAGATGAGCACGCGAGGTACTGCCCAAGCCGTGCTCCACCTCGGCTCTCTCTGCAGGCAGGGAGCTAGGGCCTTAGGGGGGAAGCCCTTCTAGAGATCTTTCGTAGGGTTTAGTGGAATCTACCTATAGTCTCCATTGTAGTTCCTTTTTGGGGCTACCTCTTAGGACCCTTTAATATATTCATTATTGGTTAAACCCAAAAAAAAGGAACTACCATGGAGACTATAGGTAAGAATTCCAGGGTCTTGGGGCTTAGGCACCGGGAGCTTCGGCTCATGGAGGCTTTTAAAGGCTCAGGGGGTGCCCGTGTCTTAGGACTAAACCCCATAAACCCTACCTGGACACCAAATAGGGTTTAGGGTTTAGGGTTTAGGTTCCTTATTATGATTTCTTTTTTCAGCCCCGGAAAAGGTAGGTTATTAGGGGTTAAGGTACAAGCCCTAAGCCTAAACCCTGACAGCTCTCATCCGGGAGAAAGAAGCCCCGCATCCTCTCTTACATACACCCCAAACCTGGGGCTGTGAAGTCGGCCGAAGGAAGAGTGCTCTGACCTGCTTCGAAAATCTGGGGCTTTAGGGCGGTTGAGCTCACTCGGACTCTCCAGGACCAGAAGGCGTAAGGCCTTTCCAACCAATCCAAGCACAAAAAGATCCGAGAAGCCGCCAAACTTTTGCCTACTCCTGTGGTTTTTCTCAACGATAACTTTAAAATAATAACAAGAAAAGACAATAACAGTAATAATCGTAATAACAATCCTCATAATAAAATAAAGGCAGAGACAAGAAGGGAGCTCCTGAGCATCTTGGGCACCGGACTCTACCGCGCCAGGCAGATCCGGCGGCAAGGCCACGTCCAAGAAGCGGTCGAGGATGCCTCTCCAAAGAGCTTATGTGGCTTAGGGTATAGAGCCTAGTATAGCCCAAAGGGTCTAAGTACCCATATAGTAGATATTTTGGGCCCCAAAGTATCTACCATATAAGTACTTAGACCCTTTGGGCAGGGTTTATTAGGGCTTATGTGGCTTAGGGTATGGGGGTTTCCGAAAATAAGGGGTACCTTGTTTTGGGTCCTTATGTTACTAAGGATCCTACTATTTGGGGTACTATGTTAGGGTCCCCTATTTTCGGAAACCCCCATGTGGCTTAGGGTATAGAGCCTAGTATAGGGTTGTAACCTCTAAGCAACTTTAGCATTCTGCCCCCCCTCGTTTACCTAAACAACTCAAGGCAAGGCTGCGACTGAAGGCCCTCAGAAGGCTCGCAGACCCTTCAGCTGCTGGCTGGGCCGTAGGAAGAGCCCAAAGGCAAATACCGGGGGTTGCAGTGTGCGTGACGTGTGTGGTCGTATATGCGGCCCTTGAACCCACCTTCTCCCGGAACCACACTTTGAAAGCCAAGTCAAGCAGGAACATGCCGAATTCGTGCCCGGCGGCAGTCGATCCTCTTGTGGTCGCGCCTCGTCAGGGACCATTATAAACTCTTCAACCAAGATCCCAAAGCCTGGAGACCCTCAAGCACACCCCTGATTTTGAGCAGGGAAATCCTGAACGCTGAATCGCGACATCTGCAATCACTGCTGAAATCCCGCATAAAGTTGTGCTCAGTGGCTCGCATGCAGAAACTCATGTCAATGTATTGAAAGAGCACACCCTGAGAAAAAAAACAACTAGGTGGTTCCTAAGCAGAGCCCCAGTTCACTTCTCTGGGTCCAAGGGGCCAAAGCTCTTGTTTTGGAAAAACGGACCTTGAGGACATCTGCGCTGGCCTAGGCCGTTAAACCTGCCTCAAACCAAAAAGCCAAAACCCCCACAACTCAGGCAAACACCACAGTCTGTGAACAGGCGAGACACACAATGTCCATGCCGACGCACTGGTACAAAGCTGGTTGAGAAGCCACCTCAAGCAAGTCGGAATGCGCACGAAACGTGTGCAGGACTTGCTGCTTGGGGTCCGGACTGCGTGCTGTAGATTATCGCTTGTGTAGAGCATCCGAACAAAGCGAACACAAAGCTTGAAGCCCCGCCTTCTCACGTGTCTGCTTGTAGCCGACACTGCGCACCTGCCAAAGCATCTGCCATGTCAGCAATTCTTGTATAGACTAGAAGAAGCAGCCGTTGCCAATGATGTTGATTGGTGGCGAGAGGGAGACTGGACATGGTGATAGTGATAAATATAGTCAGTACAATCACGATGATAACCACGGTGGTGTCTGCGAGCCTGCCCAAAACAGCAGCAATGAGGAACAAGGAAGAGGAACACTGTCGGGGAATAAGCAGGGAAAGCAATGCTACAAACGCTGATCCCCTTGTGGAGGCCATGCAATGTAAAACCCAACCGTGGTACACGAGCTCTACTGACTGACCATTCTCACAATGCCGAGCATCGGCATTACAAGTCGGATCTTTCATCAGCTCGAGCACTGACTAAACCCTAAACCCAAAGCCCCTGAACCATATAAATAAAGCCCAATGCAGTTGGGAGGCATCGAAGACACAGGCATCACATTGGAGCCAGTATGGTTGAACCTCAAGGCTTTGGGATTTTTTCGACTTGGGGCTGGTTGCTCAGGGGATAGCACGCACCAAACCCTAAACCCTAAACCTGAAGCATTTTTCAACACGAACCTGAAACAGTCAACCCTAGAGTTGATGGTTTAGTGAGGCGTTGCAGTTTGTATGCTGTTGGGGTGGATGGATTTCGACTCGCTTCCATGTTGCCAACTGCTCATGGGAGCAGCAGCAGCGAACCCCATCCATCGATGCACCCTCCTTGCAATGTTGAATACATACATTCATATACATACATACATGCATGCATACATACATTAATTACATTACATTACATTATTACATTACA